TTTCAAATATTTTCTGCTGAACCAAAAGCTAAATGGGCTTTGGTCACTACTGCATTGCTAATACAAAATCAAGAAGTGACTATCCTTCTGGAATATTAATACAGTGAGCCTGGAGACATGATATTGGTGTGTAGCAGAAATCAGGAGGAAGGAGTCAGGGTGCTGTGGTGATTTTCTGAGCAAGGAAGGAAGTTGGTACAAGCGGAGGAAGTTCACAGTCAGGTGACACTTTGTGGTCAAATAGTTTCTAATTAGGAATTGACCAACTGGCTCTTTGTCGCAGTGATAAGTTATTAACAGGAAAAGGTTTCCTAAAAGAGTTTTATAGTAGGTGATTTAATGAAAAAAGTTTAGACAGTTTTCAGGATTCAGAAATTTTGAGGTAACTAATATGTTTTTAAAATCCTGTGTCATTTTTTGTATTTATAAATGCTAACCTTATCCATTGAGATTGCAATTAGAATCTCATCATAGCCTATCATAGCTCTAAAGTTACTATTTATCATACTTGTATCCTAGGGAAAGATTTGAATAAAAGAAAAGAGGCAATTTAGCATAGTTTTTTCCCACATAAAAGTCTCCCGCCTCTGCTTGAACCAAGCAAGTTGTAATTACTGAAATATATATTATAAAATACCTACATATTTTGTAACTTTAAACAAATGGTTATGATCATTGCTTTCTCACATTTAAAAATCAAATTTATTTTGTATAGGAAGACATTTTTCTAAGGAAGTTATAGTGTCTCTATAAAAATGAATAATAGAAACCAATATTAACTTATATGTATTGGAATTGTTCAAAGAAATAAAATATTACTTAAATCTACTGCTTTTAACAACACTGTAACATTTATTGGTTTTGCAATAAAAGATTTATAGAAAATTACTATGGTATTACTTTTTATGTTTCATATTGAAAGCAGGTAAAGTAGCTTCTAAGCAATGGGTTGTTATCATTCACAGCTAACAGTGCTTAGCAGTTAGGATTTTAACCACTGACATCATTTTCTTTGAAAAATAATAGATGTTATTTAATCCTTATAGATAAATTGCTGCATAACTATGACTTTTTTGCTGACAACATTGCCTACACGTAGTCAATATGAACAAGAAGTTTCAGAATAAGTTTACTAGAAGAAAAAATCTGAATTAAAACATTTATATATTTATTCTCTCAGATGTACTAAGAGGAATCGAGTGTTATTTCCAATCTATTGTGTTCATGTGCTCGGTCGTGCTACACTCTTTGCGACCCCAAGGACTATAGCCCGCCAGGCTCCTCTGTCCACCGGATTTTCCCAGGCAAGAATACTGGAGTGAGTTGCCATTCCCTTCTCCAGGGGATCTTCCTGATCCAGGGATCAAAACTGCATCTCTTATGTCTCTGACATTGGCAGGAGGATTCTTTACCGCTAGGGCCACCTGGGAAGCCCTTCCAACTATTATCAAAAGGCAGTTCAAGCTGCTGTAAGCATCTGATGACAGTTTATGCTAATCTTTTAAAACTCCTACCTTTAGACAATTTCTCGCTGGAAGGTTAATGGCTAAATTATATTTATTACAGGTAGTTTTCAAAAGCGAAAGCAATGCCCACTTTACACAGTTACTGTGGAATGTAGGAAACTGTCAGATATTACCTCTGAGGGTTTGTATGGTGGCTTGTCTAGTGAAAGATGCCAGAATCAGATGAAGGAGAACCGGGATTGACTTATCTTCTTATCTCCAAGGTCTTGTTTCCAATTCAGAAGGCAGAGGCACTGAGTGGACTTTGAAGTGCTTGAGATAGTCCCTGAGGACCAAGCTATAACCCAGAGTATTCATTTATATTGAATTTTCTTTCAATTTTTTGTCTTGGCAGGAATTAAACATAGGGCTTATTCTAAACAATCAAATAATATTAAGGCTGTTTTTGCTATGACCTTTCTCTAGGAAAACTTGGAAAATTTTATAAACTATTTTCTAATTAAAAATATCCATTTTGGCCATTCTTAGAGTACTCCCAGGGGATGAGCTCAGGGTAACATTTCTAAAATGCTGCTCTTTGGTCCCTAGAGCACCATACTATTTCCTAACACTGATTTGTGGTCACTGCCAGGATCTCATATATACCCTCAATATGCAGGGGAAGGTGACACATACACTTTGCTTCACGTATAAATTCCTATAATTTTCATGGAGAAAAACTTAGCAAGATTTATCAAAGTACCTAAAATTATTAATGAAAGGACTCTTGGTTACAATACCCAGAAATTAATCACAAGAGAAAAAAGTTGTGAAAAGATTTGTATCTAGCAGATATTCCTATTATTAGGAGTCTTTGGAATATTAGGAGTCTCTGGAATGGGTGAATTTAATCAGATGACCATTATATCTACTACTGTGGGCAAGATTGCAGGCAGATTCTTTGCCAGCTGAGCCACAAAATGTTAATATTACTAGATATCTTGTCTGTCTAAGATCAACTCTCTCAGTATCTACAAGGCACCACATACATTTAAAGAAATGATTTCTTCATTTGAAGATTTTTCACGGTATACATTTTTCATAGCATTCTGCTGTTTTATATTTTCCTCTAATGGTTCTGGTGTAAATTCTAACAGGAAAGTAGCAACCTCATACAGTCTCATGACTTAAGTAGTATCTGGATAGTGATGTTCCTAAATGCGCACTTCCAGTCCTGGGATCATCAAAGAACCCTGGGTACACCTCTGGGAAGTCTAACAGGCATCTCAAATTTAATAGAACCATTCACGCCTAACCAAACCCAACAACCAAACCCCAGACCTCCTCCACTTCAAGAATTCCTTTTTTTTCACTTAATGATACTATCATCTCACCAAACCTACTTATCATCCTTATACTCTCTTTCCATTGCTCCAATTTCCAATTCATCAACAATTCCTGATAACTCCACTCACCATAAATTCATCCAAATCCATCAATTTCTCATATTATTCACTCTTTTTATTCTAGTCCCAATCACCATGATTTTCTGCCTATGTTCCTTCCTTTTTCTATGCTTGCTCCTCAGGGTCAATTTTTCCATTGTAAAACCAAAATTATCTTTATAAAACATAAATTAAATTGCACCATCCTTTGCCTAAAGCCTTTAAAAGGTTTCCTTTCCTACTTAGGAGAAATCTGAAAAGCCCTACCAGAGCCTATCAGATTCCCCTTAATTTAATCCATGTTCTTTTTTCCCCTGTAATTGTTTTGCTTCAGTGACATGGTTCTCTGTCCTCTGAATGCAATTAATCTACTCCTGCCACAAGTTCCTGAATGTATGAGCTCCTCGTCTCGAACACAGTTCTCCCGGATTTTCCTATGATTTCTTCTTCCTTTCCAGTGAATCCGTGCCACTCCGTTTCAACCCGGCAGTATCCTCCCCACCCCCAGAGAGGCCTCCACAAGCACTCGCCCAAGTGCCTTTCCGACCTCATCCTGCTCTGTTTTCTTGATTTGTCTCTATTTTTAGTTATAGGCACCGCATTTTCTTTTTTTCGCAGAATATAAACCTGACAAGAGCAGGGTTGTGTCTGCTTTGTTCACTCATGTAACCTCAATGCCTTGTGTAGAACCAGGTCTACGGTGGGAACTCAGTAAATATTCATTAAATACTTGGCATAAATTAATGATCAAGACATTTACAAAGTGTTTTTTTTTTTTTTACAAAGTGATTTTTTCAAATGAAAATTCCTACCTACTTGTTTAATGACTCTAAGTGCAGAGATCACAGTGTGGAAAATGAGGTGTGTTCAATGGCAGACCAAGAAGAAAGGTGTTTAAGGGCAAATATATGAAGAAAAATTTTGCTAAACATATACTTAGATATGCAAAAAAGGATAAGAAGAGTAATTGTTTATCCCTATGATGAGAGATGGCATTTTTATAGTACTGCTAATAAATGCATATAATATCTATAATGATTTTTAAAAAATGAACTACCAAGCACAAATAAGTGATCACCTAAATCTGCAGATTAGATTCTGAAATATGTTCCTATTCCTACTCCTTCCCTTGTTCCATAATTAGTCCCAAATTAATAAATTCTCACTTCCAGAAGATGATTTTCCAAACCTTTTCAAACTTGACCCTGTGGTGGATCCCGTTAACTGCACTGGATATTACAATTCCCCCTGCCAGGACACTCACATATGACCAGCAGTCAGAAGTCCAGCAAAAACAAAATTTCTCCTGATCTTTTCACGAGGGAACATGTTCTAAGACATTAAAGGTGGCTGTTGTAGCAAAACCTGTACAAAATATTACTTTCTGCTATCTTCTGTAAAAATTTAAACTTCAATCATATCATCCTAGTAGAGTTTAAAAAGACAGACCTCAAAGGTAGCATTTTATTTGATATCTCTTGTAACTCTAGAAGGAAACTTAAGCATGAATAATTGGAGATCTGCACACTAATATAAAGATGAAAGAATGGGACTCAATTTAACTTGGGTGCTAAAAAAAAGTGGAATTCTTTCCCGCTGCCACTTTGAAAAGGGTATGATTTTGAAAGTTATGAAGCAAGAACGGGCAAATGTTATGCCAAATGGGCAACATATCAGTAAACCCTCCTGTGAAGAACTTTTAATAAACCCTATATTTTGAGAATCTATTTATTCCTTTGTGAATATGTCTTTAATCTGTGTATTCATTTGTGTACAACAGCTCCATTCTTATTTTACCTACAACAGGATTTCCCATCTTTTTTCTATCATATTTGTTAGGAATGAAGCTTATCCTGAGAGTCTCATTATTTATTGAAACCCTAAAGCTAAATTCTCTTACTACAGATACATAACTGACTATCTGTTAAAATACTGCTGCACACTACATATGAAAATCACTTAGCAAAGTATTTCCAAAACTCTAGATACAAATAATTTCTTCCAATATTGAACTTCAGGTAGGATTATCAGATAGGATTTACAGATTGATCACATCCATCACTTATTCTGTATCATTCAGTATAAAAATACGTAGAACATCAGCACTTACCTGAATAACGTGCCTCAGTTTATCAATAATCTGATTTATCACAGGATCAATTCCTTTGACTTTGACTTCAGGATTTCCAGATTGGGCTTTGATTCCATTTCCAACGACATGCTGAGTGTAGCTAACAAAGTGAAAAGTGAAAGGCACGTTACTTAATAATCTGGTCACAGTATTCTCTCCACAAATTTTTGAACAGATTTGAGTTCAGAATTTTACTCCTTTAAGAATATATAGTAATGTATTTTTTCTTGGAATTAAACCTGGCACAGCTATAATGTTTATTTTCCTGGTAAAAAAACTTAGCATGCAAATAGAGACTATTTTATTGTTATCCTCTCAAAAGACCCAACCAAAAATTGGGTTTTTAATGCTACTTACCAATATGATAAAAACAGTTAATAGATATCCTAATCTTTTACAATTTCTTGCTGAATTATACATATTCTGAATCCATATTATCTGGGCAATTTATTTCATTTTATACAGCATTTAGATGAATCTCAAATTATTTTACATATTGGACTGCAAAAGAAATATATATATGTGTGTGAGTTGATATATACGCATACACACATATGTATACCTACCTACATGCACATGGGCTTCCCAGGTGGTGGTAGTGGTAAAAAACCCTCACGCCAATGCAGGAGACATAAGAGACATGGATTTGATCCCCTGGAGGGTCAGGAAGATCCCCTGGAGGAGGGCATGGCAACCCACTCCAGTATTCTTGCTTGGAGAATCCCATGGACAGAGGAGCCTAGAAGGCTACAGTCCATAGGGTTACACAGAATCAACATGACTAAAGCGACCTAGCGTGCATGCACACATACACACACATGCGTTGTTGTTGTTCAGTTGCTAAGTAATGTCTGACTCTTTGCAACTCCATGGACTGCAGCATGACAGGCTTCCCTGTTCTTCACTGTCTCCCAGAGTTTGCTCAGACTCATGTCCATTGAGTTGGTGATGCCATCCAACCATCTCATCCTCTGTCGCCCCCTTCTTCTGCCCTCAATCTTTCCCAGCATCAGGTATTTTCCTGTGAGTTGGCTCTTTGCATCAGGTGGCCAAAATATTGGTGCTTCAGCTTCAGCATATATATGTGTATATTTGTGTGTGTGTGTGTGTGTATATATGTAGTTGACATATAATGTCAACTTATTATTCATGAAAATATTTAGATTCACCAGTCATAAAGATGTACTAAGTGTTCCTTCCTCTATTCCAGTCCTTTGCTACGTGACTGGGACTCAATTTGTCTTCTCATGGTGTTCATTGTATACCTGGGAATATAATGTATTAATTAACTTGTGCTTTCATGCATTCATTCATTAAATGCTATTATTTTTAAAAGTTTTAACTCAAATTCCAGTAATATAACTTATCCTCATTTTCCTGACAGTGTGGTGTAGCATGGAAGACAAGTAAACAGCCAAAGCACAGCGCTAAGAATGAAAGATGTTCGGTATGTCACAGGATTGGCCAGAGGAAAAGTATGTGCCTGTGAGAGGTGAGGATAGCACAAGTAGAAAACATCGAACATATGGAGAAGGACATTTGGCCCAAGACACTCAGGGAAAACCTAAAGGAGAAATTATATCTTGAGTTAGTCCTTGGAGTATTAGGGGAAAAGATAGGTCTCAGATGATGTAGTTAATGTGAACTCCAGGGCAAACAACGACCTCCCAGCAGGGGAAATGGAAGGAGAAGAATATCTAGGCTCTCATTTACAAAGGGAGAGAGCAAATGGGAAACAGTATTAGGTGGGGGACATGCCCTGAATATTCCATCCCCTCTACGCTTAAGACTCTCCTCTCAGTAATATGGTTGCTTACATTAAAGTATCATAATAAAGTGGCCTCAGAGACTTTTCAGGAAGCATTTCCACATATCTGTAATGTAATGTGCTTTCTCTGTATCTGGAGTGTCACAATTATCCATGTGCACCCTCTGAATTTTCTACAACAATGGAAATTCTTTGAAAAGATAAAAGCAGGTTCTACCATTGAGAATATGGACAAATAAAAGGAGTTTCGAAGAATACTCAGTTATTTGAAAGATAATGAAACCTAATGATCAATTTTCAAAAATAATTACTAATCAGATCCTTCCTATGATAATAAATGATGGAATTCTTTGATATGGATAACATCAATTGGATATGACAAGAATAAATATATTAATAAATCTTTTTATTTTTAAAACAACCTTGAATCAATTTCTATATGCTGAAATAGGCTTACAGTTAGGTAATCCAGTATAAATTAGTAACTTGGCAATATCCAATAACAAATAGTAGAGGGAAAACAATTATGCATATGTTATTAACATCTACTAATGCTAATGCTCTTTAGTTAGGAAAACTCAGGTAAACCATAAGGCTTTTCTTAATGTCTTGGTAGCACTGTTATATTTTCCTTTCAAATATTTCAAAAAGATTGTGCATGTGGGTCTTTTATTAGTGTTTCATTTATTAATAGTCATGTTGAATAATATGAATACATAACTAAATAAATTCTCATCTATGATTCCAGGCATTGTCTTAATGACTTTGTTTGGAGTCTGTCAGTTTATCTCCATGATAATCATTTATTGTAGCCATGAGATCGTGCCTCACAGGCCTCAATGTATAGGAAGTATAATTAACTAGGCTACCTGCTACTTTGCTCTGAAATCTATTTTTTCTCTTCTCCAACCAATGACTGAGTGCAGCAGCGGTACTAACATAAACCCACTGCTGGAAGACACAGGGTTCCCTTGAGGGCCAGTGTTGGCTCAAGATTCCCCGAGCCCTTGCTGACCATTTCTTAGCCTGCACGTCATGCCAGAAAGCTTCCACTCAACCTTCCTTTGTCTCTCTTCCACTCTGGGGCACGTTTTCTTCATGGCCAACAGCTTTCAGCCTTACTCAGATTCCCCTCCAATTTCTCTCATAGGCATTTCCCTAATAAAGTCACTCTTGTGTTTAGTCCTCCTTTGGTACCTGCTTCTTGGGGGACCTAGACCAATACACCATCTAATATTTGTACTATAATTATCCCCATGCTATAGACTGAGGAATCTAAGATCGGAATAGGTTAAGTAACTTTTCCAAAACAGCACTGTTGGTTAAGTATACATCAAGGATATGAACCCAAGGAAGTGAGCTCTAAATACAATCACTCAATAATTATGAATGCAAACTCCTGAAACCAGCTAATACAAATTAGAGATACAATCAACTTGGTGCAAAGTATTTTTTTTTTTAGTTGTTTTATTTTGATTTTTTACTGTTAACTACAGCCTCTCAAAGGCTTAACTGCTTACAATTAAAAGAGAAAATATTATTTTCTTTAAAAGTCTCTTCAAAGAACAGCTGCCTATTACTGTAAAGAGTGAAGTAACAGTTGATGTCAGGGTGAGAACAAACTAATAGACTACAAGGTTGCCTTAAGGTATTGCAATGTTTCTCTTGAAATACAGACATATTGTCATAATGGAAATTGAGACTTCTCTCTTAATTTTAAATAAACACTTCTTTGATTCACATCTTGCTTTATTTATAAACCATGAAAATTTCTTTTAACATTATATATGAGGTTTCACATTAGTGTAAAGATTTTATTTATTTTTAATTTGCATAGTTAATAACCTAGATTAAACTTATCAGAATTACAATTAATCAAGAATTGTTTTTCAAGCTAGTATATTATTGAATAGTTCGGGATCACTATTATTGTGTATTATTTAAATAAGACAAAGTACTGAACAGAAGGGCATTTAATATACTTCAAGTTAAGCATACATGAATAAAATTAGGCATTCATTTCTATTTATTAAGGCTAAGAACAACAATGCAGTAGTAATATATACACACCAGAATGGTTTACATGAAAAGAGATGACACTAAGCATTGGCATGGATGGGGGGCAATTAGAACCCTCTGTCTTTGAGGATGGGAGCTTAAACTGATATAAACCCTTATCTGACATGTATCTGGGAATACACTTAACCAGATAGGTATAAGAATGTTCAGAGAAGTACTATGCAGAATAGCCCCCAATTGAACACAGCCCAAATATTCAGAAACATTGCATTGGCAAATAAATGGTTGAATATTTATATAATAGCATACTATTGATATATAGCAGTGAGAATGAGTTACAACTAAACTCCAACTTTTATATGCTAAATATGAAATGAAAGAAGCAATATGTGGAATATACTCTATGATTCCATTCATTAAAAGTTTAAAAATTAAACAATGACATTCCAAATCACCATAAGTGCTACTCTAAGAGATAGTGTACAACAGGTTGAAGAGGTTACTGGGGTTCTAGCAATCTGTTTCTTGATTTGGATCCTAATTAAACAAGAGGGCTCATTTTGTATATCAAAAAAAAAAAAAAAAAAAAGACGTGAAATGCCTAGGGCTTCTCAGATGGTGCTAGTGGTAAAGAACCCACCTGTCAATGCAAGAGACACAGGAGATGGGTTCAATCCTTATGCCAGGAATATCCTGTGAGGAAGGCACCACAACCCACTCCAGCAGTCTTGCCTGGGAAATCCCATGGACCATGGACGGAGGATCCTGGCAGGATCCTCCATGAGGAGGATGAGGCCGCAAAGAGTCGGACACAACTATTATTTTGTTACTTTGGTTACACTTTATGCATGTATTTTCAACCTAAACAATACATTTATGCTGAAAACTTCCTGTGCTTTTTCTTAATGTGTATACAACAGACAAATTTGCATTGAACAATGTATAAACAAAAGATCAACATAGGTATTTCTTCACATGGGCTAAATGGTTTTGTCATCACTAAATGACTAATTTAGGCTGCTAGTTCAATATAAAAATTCCCTGTGAACTTTAATTTGCATGCAAAAAATACAGTTACTAAATCAAATAAAAGTTTTTCGAACAAAGACCTCTTACTTGAGTTTTTAATAAATCATTAATCACTCTTTTTTCCTTCTAATTTTACAAGTAATGGATAAAACATTTCAAGGCTCCCTACAGAGGCTTCTTGACTTGAAAAATTACTCACATTTTAATGAGAAGGAGGGAACAAAATACACACAAAAACAAGGCAAGTATTTTGTGAAGGAAGTAATAGACCCACCATTTGTGCC